CAGGGAGAACGTGCGACTCTGTGGCGTCAGGAGGTAGCCACAAAGCCGATGACGGCTGGGAAAGGGTTCACAGCAGTGCAAACTCCAACAAATGCACAGACACCTGGAAGATAGGGTGGGGGCTCCTCCTCGCCTGTCCCTAGATGGAGGAGCTGAGCGCATGTTTCGCCTCCACGTGCCAGGCCGCCGCGGGGTCACGATCCGCCGTACTAACAGAGCTTGGGACTACCTCATCAGGAGACGGCCTTGTGGCCCAGTAGCTGCCAGTGGTTGGTGCGGAGAGCGAACAGGGCCGATGTGGGGCGGCGGGTGAGGGGTCAATGGGATCACCAGTGGCGGCACCGGGGACGGATTGGCTGTAACTCACTTCTAGGCCGGGGGCAGCGGCAGATATGAAGGAGCGCATGCTGCTGGTGCTGACAGTAATGGCGGGTGAGGGCTGACGCCGAGGCGGTGGCTGGCTACTGTGAACCAAATGGGACATGGGTGGAAGCCCGGATTCCGTGGTAGGACCAGAAGCGCCACTTGGGTGCCAAGGACTGCCGATTGCCTCGGTACCGGTCGATGCATCGTACTGCATCCGCGATTTGTAGAAGCAGACCTCTGTTTCGGACATGTCACAAAATAATGGTGGCGCTGGTGCTGACGGAGGCGGCGGAGGCGGCGGCGGCAGATTCGGTGCAACTGTCGTTGTTGAGGCAGTTTCTGCAAGAGGCAGGAAGACGTCGGGCGGATCTACGAGGCAGGTCAAGTAGGGAATGGCCACACCGGGGCAGTGCTGTTGAAGCAGTTGAACACAACGCCTTGCCTGGTCCCGCCAACTCTCAACTTCACGCAGCAGGCGATTGGCCTCGGCGTTAAGACCGTCGACCTGGGCTTGAAGTTCCTGTGTACGATGCAGTTTCCGTTCACGGCACTTTTGAGCCGACTTTCGATTACGCTCTCGCCGTTTTAGCCTACGATCTGCTTCATCCGCGTCAACCTGTGGTAAAGAGGGACAGTGGAAGTTTTCAGCAAAGAAGTTGACAGCAGGACGGTCTGGAAGAAGAATAACCTATCCCCGTCCCCTATTCTGGCTACAGGCAAGGATGTTAGGCTCTAAGCACCTATTGTAAAAATAATGGACCTAAGAGTTGGAAAGGGCGTGTGCGTCTCTGACTCATCATCGCTTTGCCAAGGTGGGCGACGGTCAGCATCGAAACAATGGAGGCCAATACCTCCAAGTGTCTGGACCAGACCGCTATCTCCCTCAGAGTCTTCGTAGCCTTCAGTTAGCGCAATCCGGATTTCACGGGAAGCATTGATAGTCTCACATGGTTTGGAGCATTATGGTTTTTAGCGTCTGTTATTTGTTGTTTCGATTGAAAATCACATAGGAATCTAACCTGATTTGAAGTCAGGTAGCCAGCTGGAGGATCATGGTATTAGAAAAGACCAGTAATCTGTCAAAACATAGACCGATTTGAGAAAAAAACACCTGGAGAGGCGGACATTCCTGATCATGGCCCCAGATCGTTCTGTCAGCCAATCCGGGGTAGATAGTTTGCAAACAATAAATAGGCCTCAGGAGAGGGGTGAGTCGGCCGGGTTCCGCACGAAGCGCCTAACAGATGGAAGACGAGGAGTTGGGTGCCATAGACCTTGCGGTACGTTCAAATTTGAATAGACTCATCTTCCCACCTCCTTCACCCCCACGAACGTACCATAGCCGTCAACTCCAATCCCCTCAAGCATTGGTGGTAAATAAATAATCGCGCTTTCTGAGCAGAGCACTTATCTCAACCACCTCCCTCGCATGACCGAGGCACTCTGTACGGACGCACTTGCGTACGGAGGAGAAAGTATGACGGAAAGGGGGGCTAGTGCACGCAGAACGGGCTGTGACATACCATCCAGCGTCCGGAGTCCGGCATGAGAAACGTCTGTTTAGAAAACAAAAAACGTGACGCACGCGAGCAGGCAGTCTGCAGCAGAAGAGGCGTGCTCCCGCTTTTGGCGGCAACACAGCATGAGCAGTCATCAGGGCACTGCACACACTCGGACACGCCACATTGAGAGCGCTTTGAACTCAGGCGCGCGCCTGAGTGTGTGTGGGTCAGATTTTAATTTAGAAAGAAGTGTTACTACTCGCACCGCTGCTACCACAAACACCCTCATATCACACTTGTATTCTCATGCAAAGAGAGCTCACGCTTAGGCGCCATCGTTTGCCGCGAAACTCGCCAATTCTGCCCATACACGCAACCGATGAGTGTGCGCGCCCGCACGTACTGGAAGATTGATGGTCACTGCCGCCGGCTATATCCAGTTCCGCATTCTCACGAGCAGACACGAATTGACGCATGTGCAAGTACCATTGCGGTTGCTCTTGTGTGCGCGTATGAGAGAGAGGGCGAGCTCATCGCAGCAAGGGTAGTCAGGATGGAGGCGTATCTCGCCAGCAATTGCCCAAATTTCCAAATAACAAACGCACACTTCGGGCTCAGACTGTCCTGGTCAGACACCTCTGCATTTACTGTATCTAACAATCTTGGCGCCCACATAACACGCAGGCAACGTGGATGAAGTTAATCGACGATAAAGAAGGACCGCTTTGGCATGCGCGTATGTGTTTTGGTCTTGCAGCGGGCAGGTATCGGGGCGATGCGCGCTTTCTTGTCGGTTGAAGGATTAGGATGTGCTGCAGGCGGGTGATGGCCAGGAACGCCTAGCCGGTCACTGCACCTGACCTCAGGTCCAATCATATTGATTCAAATTTCCTGATGGATCTTGGTGGAGTTGGAAAGAGCAGCTGAAGATGTTGAAGCCTCCTCGCTGTAATCTCACCAGTGGTCAGGCCGATTTCATAGTTATTACGTATACAACACAACTTGCGTTAAACCCTGGGATGGGCGAATTACTGCATCTTGCACGGGTGACCGAAGCCAATCCGGTGTCTAGGTGCAAACACCAGTGAGAAACTATGCAATTCGGTAGCCTTCTGGTTGACTAAGAAGCCCTATTTAAGGAAGCATCACACACTCCGTCGCGAAGAAAGAGAATACAAACGTTGCTTCACTGATAGTTTGCTTACCGTCTTTAGTCAGCTGACCGTGTCCACTGAGTTCGAACACAATATGGGCGCCCGTGCTCGTCTTTTTCAACGACTTAACTTGGACTGAATGTTCACTGGTAGACAACACACTGGGTTAACCTATCGGAAGGGCTGGCCAGACCCGTCCATAAACTCGTCAGTTACAAAGTAGACATTGCCGGTATCGGTACCACCAGTTTTTCAAAAGAACGGTGAATCAGTGGACCAGGAATGCGATTTGTCTTGCCCTGGAGTCTAATTCTCTGTCAGGAATGCAAGCTGAGCACATTTACTTGCTCATAGCACCAATGACCAAATCATCACTCTAGGCTCACCGATACTCTCAAGGAAACGTTATACCATCATCATCGGTGCCCACGATGGCTGACAATGACGATGTAAACAACAGACTGCAAGAAGACTTTCACCCCCCTATTGAGTCTCTTCTGAGACCGGACAAAGGCGCTATTTTTGGGCACAGATTATGTCACCCGGAAAGGGGCTGATTGGTATTCGTGGTGTTGAAGCCTGCAATAACAGTAAAATACCAACGGTGGCAAAGAAAGTAATAACAACAGACTTTTCCCAAATGTCCACGCGGAACATAATTTGTGCATCAGGATCGTGACAGTTCCCTTGCCTAACAGCAGGGAAACAATATGGTGTACGCATATTTACTGCACTGGTCATTGCTGGGCTACGTGTTTGTGAGGAGACGCCACCGTCAGCGTGCGATGATACCAGAATCAGTTTGATTGCCGTGTGCCAATCCGACTACTGCCTGCTCATATCTTATATGGAACAGCATATTTAACCGGAGAGCCATCCTGTTGGAGGAAGGGTAATAGGGCGGAATGACATTACCGAGAAAGACACGAGAGACTGGAATGGCCGTTTCTGGCTTATTAGCCGTCGTCGTCGGCCAGCCATACCCAACCCCGGGGTGTGCAACCCCTAGGGCTCGACCCCGCGACCTGTTAGATAGAAGTCCAACGCCTCTAACCACTGAGCCACAGGCCCGTTTTCCTGTCGGTTGCAATCAGGCATATACAATGGTAGAACGGCAGGGTGTATGCTAATGGAAGCGAAGAGGTGAGTTCCAGGAAGCAGTCGCGAAGCAGGAGACACGATCGCTGGGACAAGAGCTTCATAAGCCTGACGTCTCGGAATCTCACTCGAATCCATCATCAGGGACAGAGTCAGATAAGGGTAGTAAATTGTCCAGGTGTCGCAGTTTTTATCGGATGTAGTTACTAGGCCAGCACACGCCTATCGCAGTTGGCAGCTGCCGAGTGCATCACGGCTCGAGCCGTACGTAGGCTGATACCTCGACCTAGTTGGATAATGTCGAGAACTCTTCATACCCCGGAAAGAGCCATCGCAAAGAGGATACGGACAATGCGTTAATTTCCGTTGGCAGGTAGCTCTCGAACAACGACTTCTAGCTCGTCCCGATAGGTTATGTGGGCGGGGTTTGGTGGATTGCACTGACACAGACTAGGCGGAATCATCCTAACACTCGCCTCACCGTTCCCTCATGCTCCGATAACAACATTGTTGACTAACTCAGCGGTACACTGGCTGAACGGGAATGACTCCAGTGTACTCGGTAGACGATACACTGATGCGTCCACCATAAACTTAATTTTAACAGACGCCCGGTAGATGATGGGATATTTCTGATTTTAAGTCCTACGTGTGTCCTCACCCTAGCGTTCGGCAGAAAATACACACAAAAGCAACATGGCACCCAGGAGTTTGTGTGTCCAAAGAGTTCACATCTTCGGATGTAGTTGTTGTACCCCAGCAACAGATAATCCAACTCTCCCGGTCCTGTTTGATAAAATTCCTAGTTTAAAAATGCGAATCCGGATTCGAATATGAGGGGATTAGCAGATGATCAGAGCCGTTTGATGTTTCAAGCGGCAACATCTATCGCCTATCTATCCTAAACGCCTGGCACATCCTCTGAACAGTGTCACCCAGGACGACAAGGGGATAAACAACACTCCGGCAACCGGAACTATCGGTGATCTAGCAGGTCCCGCGACTTCCCCACATTCGGCATTGACAAAACAATCCTCGGGTCTGAGAAGCCTACGTGGCACAACGTAGGCGGCACAGAGCACACACAAAGCTCTGAATATGCACAGCCGTTCTAATATTATAGACGTCATAAAACCGATATGATTCTCCACTTTGCCCACTTTTCCCTGCCTACGAACACTGTACGAGCAATTAGGGAAAGCCTCCCTCAAAATTTGAAGGCCGGCTAGCTTCCAGAAGGTTGCGGTTGTGGAGGCACAGGCAAAGGACAGGAGAGTGAATAAACGTACCGGCTCTGACTTCAGATTCCTTCGTCCGGTAGCCAAAGTCGGCGCCGGTTTGCGTGTTTTCTTTGTACCACGGTTCGCCGAGGAGGAGGTTGTTGTTTCCCCGTCCGATGAGACAATGCTGGCAGCTGCCGATCCGGTAGTAGAATCGGGTCCGATAGAATAACGAGGAGTAGGGTACTTGGTGCCTCTTGTGTTGAAACCGTTGTTGAGGCCCATTTGGCCGGGCTTCAACACTTCGCCGCTGACATCCGAAGAATGTGTAAGGAAGGAACCGGCGGTATTAACGTACTGCCCGTCACCGTTGGTATAAGTACAAGCGTTTGAAGAGGTCGAACTTCGGAAAACTTTTGAGCCTTGATTCATCGGGTAGCTTGTGGTGGTCGGATCACATGCGCCAGGGGGACAACGGCCTTCAACAAAATCCATCGTCATGCTTGCACTGGCTGGTGTATTAGCGGAATAAACAGATCGCACGTCATTGACTCCCTTGTCCCACCGTGAGATGCAAGACGGGTTGGAGAGGCTCCCATTAGATACGCTTTGCGAAAACGCGATTGGTACAGCTGCTTCGCCAACTTCACGCTTCAGCGGCGTGTATGGATGATCAACAGAGCGGGTCGAGATTGGAGAAGGCAAGCTTTGTTCATAATGCGAAGTTGAGGAGGAGAAACTGGGATTGGTAAAACGAGAACTGGAGTACGAGCCGCCACCACCACCGCTGCCACCGCCACCAACTGTAGTGAACGTCTTACCATTCTGATTGGTCAACACAGACGGCGAAGTCTTGGAGAAGCTGAGGAGGTTGTGTGCAGCGGGTAAGCTGCCGACATGTGATGTCGATGTGTCACAAGCTCCTTCATTCATCCACTGAGGAGATGACATCTGAGAGAGGGGTGACCAAGATGGGTAGTCAGAAGGATGCCGGGAGCGCATCTGAATCTGGTCTGAGTGACAGTCAACAGTGGCAGTGTCGCGTTTGAAGTAAGGCACCTGTGAGGGTGGAGGGGAGGGGGAAAAGGAATTCTGCGATGCCCGGTTGATGAGCGCGTGCTGTGAAAAGCCACTGTGGTTGTTTGCCACTGACGACATCATCGGGATCTCTGCGGATTGGCGTCCGCCGGATGGTTAATACTAGGAAGGTTGCGGGTTGTCGTAGAAGGGCAAGACAAGAACTAAATGTTGCGCCTGTAAGGAAGGGAAAAGGAGTAAACAAAGTTCCGAGGGGACAATTATTTACAGAAAACAATAAACTAAGGCAACCCACCAGCGCTGAAAGTGTACTGAGGCCCAGGGTTGGGATATCCTCTAGAGCACGACGACAACAACAACGGATAGAGGTGGAATAATGGCCGCTTGTTTCAGACACGCGCGCCCGCGCAAGAAAATGGTCGATGCGGTCCAGCCGAAGTTTCCCGCGGTCGCGCGACAGTATACGCCCAGTCGCCTGCAGCACAGGCATGAGTCAACGTCGACCAAACCTTTGCTGGCCGCGTAACTAAGCTGTGAAGCGTACGCATTGCACGTTGGTTGGTCGACGGTCGGCCAACCAACGCACGGCAAGATAAGTTGCGCCGGCGGCCTGCGTATGAGAGTGGGCGTAGGCGTATGCACGTCTGTGGTGTCGCAACTACAGGAGCCACTGGCTTGACCCAGCGCGCACACGTCGTTACCCGGGGGACCGACACAGAAACCGCTGTCTCGCAAGATGGAGAGTTCAGGGTGGGCAGTTGGGAGCCGGAGACAATAATAAGGTCTGCAGATGGCGTGATGCCCTTATATCAAACTTCAATAATAAGATGTGCTCAGCGGACAACGATGCCGCCGCTTTTTACTAGAGAGGATAATTACGGCCCGGAATAAATAATTAAGCACAATGACCAACCTTCTCTAATAACATGAATGTGGGATGAACCAGAGCTTGGAGGGTAAGCCTGCCACCAAAATGGGCTTCTGCACTTTAGGTGATTGCTGAACCTAATAAAATATGAGTGTGGTGTCAGTCATTATGAGAAACATACGTAGCATAGGGGAATTTAAAGCCAATATATGAAATCATATATGAAAACTTCTCCTTGAAGGATACAGATGCCGGTGGGTGGGGACTTGTGGGGAGGTCTATCAGCTTTATGCTAATTCTGCCACCCCTAGGCAACCCTTGGATGTCTTTAATGATCTCGCGAAAGGTTCAAATGGCTCTGCGCCATACGGTCAACTGGGGCAGCAGAAACCAAATTTCCAAAAAGAACCCATGTTAACCCAGTGCTGGTTTTGATATTTTCACTACCCCGCGTGCAGCTCAGTTGGACTGTGCATTAGCAAATGCACTGATGAAGCATGGCGCTGGAGTAGGAATTATTAGGTTAATCGACGCTTGGCAGTGCATGCTGATCGGGTGTTCTGAGGCGACCGTGAGTAAACGTCCGCAAACCAACTGTGACGTTTGCTGCGATTATCTCAATCGTAGACAAAACGCTTGAAGTAAAGCAAGACACGGAAGTTGGCGAATGTTGGGGAAGGCGGTGTTTTCCCGATGCTTGTTTGGAAGAGAGGAAGACCCTAGAAACACAAGCAGGCTGCTTTGAGCCAAACGGCAGCTTTTTATTCTGGCAGGGTTTGCTAATAGAAAGGAAGAGGCGACTTCCAGGAAGTTGTCGCGAGGAAGGAAACACGATCGCTGGAACAAGAGTCCTGGCGTTTCGGATCCTTACTCGAATCCGTCATCAGAGACAGAGTCAGGTAAGGGTCTCTCACTCTGTCTCTGATGATGGATTCGAGTGAGAATCCGAAACGTCGGGCTAACTAAGCTCTTGTTCTAGCGATCATGTCTCCGTCTTCGCTCTGGCAGTGTTTTCCCCGAAATTAATGAAGCAAGCGATTCGGCTTCAGACGCTCCCAAGTTGTGAAAGAAAGCCCCTAACATACAATATAAGGCAAAACTGTGATCAAGACGAGTGCATATATTTGGAAATTGCTCCTCTGTATACCAAACTCTGTTTGCTAACACTTGATCAAGCATTTAGGTAGGATGGTACATGAGACCGAACACACCGTGTGTCACCAGATATGCACGTTTGGGCTCTCAATGAAGGCCGGTTTTAAGAAAGCACAACAGGTTCGTGCCTTTCGGCTAGCGATAGCATGATCTGGATAAAGTCAATCCCCAAGACAGTAACGTCAAATGTCTGCCGAGGCCTTTCATAATCTATGTCAGCCGGATGAGACAGGCTTTTGTGGGACGAAAATCTTCCTCATCACAGTCAGGTCGATGAGGAGTCACTTGCAAGTGACTTCAAGTATTCCCGCATCACAGTCTACAGAATGTGGACGCGGGCTCAGTTGGTAGGACATCTGACTAAAATGCCCGGTGTCCACTCGGCCCCAGTCCGAAACATGAGTCTCGCAGGGCCTGTGTTGGGGCATGGTTGGCTGATGATGTTGACGTTGACAATAAGTCATAGATAATAACCATACAATTGCATACTACTGGCTGCCTGTTGACGGTTCATGAATGTCACGCGGTTATTACGCAGTAGCTGATGGGTTTCAGCCCAAATATTCATATCAACTTTCGGACCATGCCTGAAAGTCTGTTCCGAAGAATTTACTCGCATTTACTCGCGCATTTATTTCCTCGGAAATTAAACAAGGCAGAGTAGAACTGGAGTTCATATACCAGAAAACACACGGGGAAGGCTGGGGTCGAACCCCTCGCAGCTGCGTCGGGCAGCGGCACAAGATCGGCGAAACACGCGTGTCTGGGTTTTTAGCTAGTACCTGTGTTGTTAGTATGGCAAATAATGACACAAGTCATAGATGGCCATCCTACCCTCCCCCCTCCTCGTCGTTCTCCGCATAAGAATGGAATCACTGAGCTTTCATGAATTGCGTCAGATGTTGGAAAGAACAAGGACTCGAGACTGTTGACTCTGTCGCCAACCACTTTTGACAACGGGGCGAGGACCTTCTGACCGACGGGTCCGACGTACTGCGAACATGGCGCCTACCTCTCTGACTTCCCAGAAAAATCACACTCTGAACGGCGAGAAAGGGGTCGCGAACGTGTAATGTTGACCAGCGGTTAGACCTCGCTTGTGACCCACTTACACAGAGTGGTTAAGCATGTTTGCGTTTCCGATAGCAGATTTTGGCAAAGGTATTGCAGGCTGAGCAAAGGAACACATCGACAGAGTTCCGATTTATTGGCTGTCATCGGCCACCTAAAACGCGACGCCGGGTCTGAAAGTTTAGGTCTGAATCCGATCATCGAGTATTTCTTCACTTGGGCACTCTGGCAGTTTGGCCTCGCGCTCACGTCTCATGGACTGCGATCGGCGCTATAGTGCAGCGGTACCACGCTCCTGTTTGTTTTTGCCCGCCGACGACTGTACCAACAATTACAGACCTCCCATCATGACCTTCAGCATGCTCACTGATCACTAGTGCCAGCCCCCTAGCGTCCACTGAGAACGGGTCGCCAACTGATGAGGGCTGTTATCGTTAGTGGAAACGGAGACAGACTGCCGTTGAGCCACCAAGGGACTCGGAATAGGAGGTGGTCAAGGACAGGACTTCTCGTGGCTTACATCCATTTGGGGAGGGGGTTCAAGTGGAAGTCTTCTGGATGAAGCAGACGCAAATCACGAAATGCGACTGAAAGAAGGCTTCCGGTTTTTTGATCAGGAGCCCCAATCAAAAGCACTGCATTCGGAGTTCTAACGGTGTGAGAACGCGCCTTATTGGTTTCCTCACCAACTTTTTTGAATAGTCCTGAAAAATGCGACTGGGATGTGCATACACGTATACTTGATTACAACAGGAAGTAATGTTCTACAAAACTTTCAGAAGAAACAAGGCAGTGTGAAGCTGCGCCATTCTAACCTAGCCTCCTGATCACTGTAAATGAATGTTGGCAGTATTGAAAGTCAACCGCTTGTTAAAATGCGACCTGTCCAACATCTCATTTCAGTAAGTAAAATATTTAAATTGCGCGAACAGTCTGTTGTCAAGGGCTCAAGCTGACTACGACGCGGAGGCATTCCGTACTGGTATCGAGCCTGACACATTGACTGGGCTCATTCCAGAAAAAACATACGGGGTTCCCGGCTGATTCGCGGCTGACAGACCGATAGACCACATTACTTACTATAGAAGCCATGATGTTCTAATGATAAAGTGTCTCTCTAGGATATACTCGAAGATTATTCTTTGTAATTACCCGCGCTAAAATTAAATCTGTGAAGAAAGTGACAGGAGGTACCCAGGGGGCGGGGATCGACTGCGCCTATAGGAGAACAGATACTATGCCTGCAAACCCCAATTAGATACATAATACATAAGCGCTGCCAAAAACCACAAATGTAGACGACAAGCGTTTTCGGTGCACGCTAAATAAACCCCATAGTGCGAGACTTCCCATGAAAGCGCATCTACCCCCTGATGAGTCATCGTTCAGAAAGAGGACAACTTGGATGAAATTTACATAATCAGACCAAATTGCGTATGTAAGAGGCAAGCATGATGAAAGGTTAACAACAGAAGATATTTATGTGCATTTAGTTAAGCTTACCACACGATGCTGTTGGCGGCAGTTCTGAGACTAGTTCATCGAAAGAAGCGTACGCGAAAATGACGAATGCCGGTGGCGTTCACCTTCGCTCGCTTTCAGTGCATGTGCGGAGTGAGTGTACGTGCGTGCGTGCACGTTTGTTTTGGTCTACGCACGGTCGCTTTCTGTTAGCCTGCGAGGTCGTAGCCGGCGTCGTCACGGGGCGAGGAGCTGTGGCAGCCTGTCTGAAGGTCTAGCTTGCCGCACCCCATGGTGGTGTCCGGACAGGCTCGCTGAAGCAGCACCGGAGTCCGCGCGTGGCACTTGCGTTGGCGCTAAGGCTGTCAAGCCGGCGACCAGTGAGCAGGTTGAAGACGGTTTCTTCTTCTGCACTGTGCAAGCTCTCTTTCTCTCCCTTCCCTCATCCCTCCCCCCCTTTTCCGCTCTCGTCTACGCCTAGGCCTGACGCGAGTGTCTTACGCACGTGTGTCAGGAGCTTGCTTTGACGCACCTCTGGCCTGGTCACCAGTCTACCAATCAAACGCCAGTTCCTTTCTTTCTTTTTGCCTATGCACCAATCAGAATAGGACATCCGTCATATGCTCCCGAAATCCCACCAATGAGACGCGGAAGACAGGCAGCGTGGCCTCGCGGTGCGTCAGATGCGCACGTGCGTGTGTCAGAGGTGAGAGGCGAGGCCTGGCTCATCGATCGATAGTCAAGTGACGGCTGAATCACGCGCATGTGCAAGCACCGACGGACGCGTGGCACCGACGCGGGAACTGAATCGATCGTCATGCGTGCTGGCTGCACTGTCGGCCAAGGTCGTCGCACCGGCCTCGCGTTGCCGAGACACATTCGCGCACCTCTACCACGCTTGCACCACGTCTGGAGAGCAACCAGCAGAGCAAGCG